TATATATGTATGTGCTTTTAGGCTTTTTAATATATATGAAAAAGCTTAAAAGCACATAATAGATTTATTAAAACAAACTAAAATTAACATAATACATAAAAATAAAAAAAAAGCTCATTCAAATTATACAAATAATACTAAACACCAATTTGGTTTTATATACTTGGTTTTACAGTCATTTAAGTCTTTTTTTTTTTTTCAAACTTTAGTCTTTGTGTTTTTGTAGCTGTAGTTTTTGAGCTCTGAAAGCACTCACTTCATCTCCATTGTTTGCCTGTTTAATTACATGCCATTTTTAAAGTCATTATCCTGATTGCTGTATGCAAACGACTGTAGTGTGATTGGCACAGCAGGACCTGAAAGTCCCCAACATTTTCTTCCTGGAGACGAAGCAGATGCTTTCATATCAATTATTCGTATCCCTCCTCCCTCATCAACCCCTCCCAGAATGACATATTATTGATGAATTGATAAACTACCACTCTCGGCTTTCTCCTTGACCATAACGGTGACCTCTCCCGAGCGCCGCGCCTCCTCATTGGACTGCTGGGGGAAAGCGAGGGGGCGCAGACATGGGAAGGAGTCCGATCCGACCCCGGTGGTCCCCGGCTGGTATGTCACAGGGCCCGGGGTCTGGCAGCTCAACGGCTCTCCGTCTTGGGTACAAACCAGAGAGCCCAAGGATGCCTGATGGTACTCGGTTTCCATGGAGGGTGCGAATGTGGCCAGCGCTGCGTTGATGTTCAGACGGCGTCCCGTGTGCCTAAAAACAGGAGAAAAATAGTGAGATTTATGTGCACAGGGGATAAATCTCATTACCATCCGCAGTGAGCACACAGAAATGCATGATGAGATGCAAACTCACACTCCAGCACATGGTGTCATCAACACGCACAGCACATCCCTCACAATTCAGCATCCCAGAGCTATTTTTTCCCACAAACACAACTCATCTGCTTTGTGCCCGGGGTCTGGCAGCTCAACGGCTCTCCGTCTTGGGTACAAACCAGAGAGCCCAAGGATGCCTGATGGTACTCGGTTTCCATGGAGGGTGCGAATGTGGCCAGCGCTGCGTTGATGTTCAGACGGCGTCCCGTGTGCCTAAAAACAGGAGAAAAATAGTGAGATTTATGTGCACAGGGGATAAATCTCATTACCATCCGCAGTGAGCACACAGAAATGCATGATGAGATGCAAACTCACACTCCAGCACATGGTGTCATCAACACGCACATCACATCCCTCACAATTCAGCATCCCAGAGCTATTTTTTCACAACTCATCTGCTTTGTTAGAAGATCATTTTATCATAGCAATGGTTTGTTCATTAACATGCATGCTTGTTTATCTCATTTTAACCTCTTAACCTAGATATGTAGGTCATGAAACTGACCTCGATTACAGACAGAGATGTTATAACATTCATTTTGTCAGCAGAATTAATAAAAATTAATCGATTGTAATATACTTAACATCATATTTATTCAACTATTAAAGTATGTAAAAAACGGACCAATGTAGCTACCGTGATCAAATGAATCATAGAAATGAATCCTACACTGTAAAAAATGACCGTGAATTTAACGGTAAAAGACTGTGGGCTTTGGTTCATCATGTGACTTTCTCATCACCCCCTTCATTTGGTCGTTATCAGTGTATTACAAAGGTACAAAACAGATTTCAGTACTTCAATAGGTTGGTATATTAACATTATATCAGTTAATGAAATTACGGTATTTAACTGTAAATTTAAGTTAAAACCGTAAAACCTGGTTTTTTACCGTAAATTTTACGGATTTTTTTTTACAGTGTATTGTTTTTTTCTCTCTCTCTCTCTATTTTCTTCACAGGTGTTTTACCCTGTTTTGAATCGTGTTGTTTTTTAGGTTTGAAGAAAACGTGGGTAAACTTGACGGAAAATGAGGTAATTTTCTGCTAGGACATAACTCGTTTTTCTTTATTCTCGTTTTACTAATAAAAGGGTTCAATTTGATAATTAAACAAACGAAAAAACTTAACATTTTTACGGTAAATACAGTATGTGGGAACATACGGTGTCAGTCAATAATAAGCACTGGATTCTCTCACGAAAACGTGCGCGGAGAACATGAGGACAAATAGACAAAGCCGTGGGGAAAATAAGAGACATATGGAGGGATAGAGAGAGAGAGTGTAAAAAACATAATTTAGTCCGTACTTCATATATGAGCTACGCTATAATGAGGAATTGAGAGATTAATTAATAACGATGCACAGCGTAAAGCTGTTCTTTGTCCTCAACACAGGTGCAATTCACCGATCCAGGTCGGGACGCCCTTTGTTTCCTCATAAAACAAAGGACTGTCTCCCACAGACATTAAAAATCATGCAGACGTTTATTAGTACACGTATCATTCATATACATAAATAAACAGCTAACTTACACCTCGCGATTCCAGCCAGCGTGCGCTTGTTTTCGCACGTACGCTGTTAGTCCATTTGCATAAACAGTATCTCTACTGAAAATTCGATATTCCGGCGTGTGGCATTTAAACGTGCATTAAAAAGAAAGATAACGCGGTTGTGTGGTCGTGGATGCTGGGATCATCACTGGCTGCAGGCTCACACTCACTGGAGGACAGGCGGAGGAAACGGGAGGAGAGTAAAACAGCGTGAGAAGATGAGTAAACTACATGAACTGCGCGCACTGGAAAAACCTGTGATGAGAGAAACAAACAAACACGAGTGACAGCCTCATTATGAAGGCTGATTATAAGCTATAGTCCACAATCATAGGTTATAGAGTGCCCATGATAATAGCTACACGATACAATTGACAAGCATTTCCACAAAATAAGTAAGCTACGCATTATTACTCAGTAAGAATGTAACAGATACACTGAAAAATAAGTAAGTAATTTTGTAAGGGAAAATATTAATTAAATTTTTGCTATTGTATATAATAAATTTTTATTTTAAGCAAATGTCAGTTTGTGTGCGTGTGTGTGTGTGTGTGTGTGCAGGGGCGTAAATTTCGTCTAACAGCTAAAATTATACTTGTAAGGATATGTATACACAGAGGAAAGCCTTACTGCTATTAGTGCAGCAGGGAGACCGTGCAAAACTAGACAACTTCACGCTGTTGTGGTCGCGTTGAGACAGCGCTCGTGTCCGTTGTATTCGCCTCAGTGTTGCCAAGTCCGCGGTTTTCCTGTGGAATCGGGCTACTTTATCACTGTTGCCGCGGGTTGAAGCGACCCCAATAACGTGTACTTTAGCCCCTGGAATGCGATTTTTACCGGGGGACCCCTCGAAACGCGGTTAGTTTGGGCTAGTTTTGGGTAGCAATTGGGAGGGTTTTGTTGTAAAAAAAACCTGGCAACCCTTTTCGTCAAGCAGGTAACGTTAATATTGCTAGACTCATCGAAAAATACATTGGCATCATCTGTATTAAAGAGAAAATAATCACTTCATCCGATGTTTAAGTGAATAAAATCTCCTTGACAGTATTACTTACTGGAGTTCCACAACTATTAACTTTGTTCTCTCTCACCGGACTTGTGTGTGTGTGTAGGTGATGTAAAAGAGGAAAGCAGGCATTTGGACCAAAGCACTGTGAGGCAAGGGAGGGGAGACTCAAAATGTTTCTAAACTTAAAACGCATTTTTGCCCCGTTTGCGTTGTTTTAGTACTTACACAATTATTTAAAGTATAAAACAATGTTATTTACAATACACAAACTGGTTTTTAATCATATTTTTAGGGGGGACAACCCTCAGATAGGGGGGTCCCCCCCTTGGATCACAAAACCAATCACAAGTAGCACAGGTATATTCTTAACAATAGCCAAAAATACATTGTATGGGTCAAAATGATAAATTTTTATTTTATGCCAAAAATCATTAGGATATTAAGTAAAGATATTTTGTAAATTTCTTACCGTAAATGTATCAAAACTTAATTTTTGATTAGTAATATGTGTTGCTAAGAACTTAATTTCGACAACTTTAAAGGTGATTTTCGCAATATTTAGATGTTTTGCACCCTCAGATTCCAGATTTTCAAATA